AGTGGTTGACCTGGTGTTGTAGTGGTTGACCTGGTGTTGTAGTGGTTCACCGGGTGTGGTAGTGTTGCTTCGCAAAGCTATTACATCAATGGTGGTTGGAAGCATACTAGGTTTACCAAACCACGAGGTCGGCGAGCAGGCCCTTTGAACCAGACCTGGGTAGGCAAATGAGATCCCCACTGGTGGTGTATGTATCCACTGAGTTCACCAGACCTGGATTGTCTCAGGTGGTGTAAGATAGACCGTCGATAGACTATGTTTCTATGTTTGCCTGCATTGTTTTATCCCACAAATGTGGTTTTGATCCTCCAAATCTCACCCGCTGTAGCCCACAAATAAACACCACGAGCGCTCGTCGATGTCGCTTGATCGTCTACAGGCGATGCTGTCGGTGGCGGGATTTGAGAAGTCCAAGCTGGTGGGGTTGTGTGGCGGGCTCAGGGAATGGAGGGTGGGGCTGCAAGACACGCGGCGCCTGGTGGCCCTAGATGGGGCACAGCCCCAAAATGGCCCAGGCGCAGTCCGACTCGGCAGTGGTTCTCCCATCAGAATCCCCTGCATATTCAGGCGGTGTAGAAATTGTAGGAGGGTCCTGCGCCCGGGCGAGGACGTAGCGTTGTTGTTCGGTTCGTGGACGTTGCTCACAGTGAAGGAGAGGGGTTGCAAGTCACCAGTTGCTTTCACAAGAAGAACAGACAAGACTAGAATTGCGACATGTGATGTTTGTGGATTGCCAGAAGCTGGTGATGGTAAACGGACCAGGTGAAGACGCACGGAAGTCTGAGGGTCCAGAGGTGCGTCCGAGGGGGCGAGTTGGCAGGGGCAGGGTGGGCGGAAGTCTGTTGGCAGTGGCAGAGGGTGGGTGTGTTTTTTTTCCTCAAACATATCAATTATCATCATCATCTTCATCTTCATCATCATCATCATCATCATCATCATCATCCAAGCTTTGCAAGATGTGGGAACCGGGCAGGGACAGGCACCAACATTCAACTCTGGATTCCGCAACAGACTTTTCGGAGCCAAGAAAATGTTGTGCGCGACTACTACGCCAGGCAGTTTGCCAGATTGCCAACGAGCTCTTCCCCAAAGGCTGGCGTGGTTTTGGAAGCACACTCGAACGGACCCACACCTCTCGAAAGTAGCCTCATCAACCCTGAATCAAGTTTTTGGATGTTGTGATATGATGTGATATGATGTGATATGTTGTGTGGGTCCTGGTGATTCAAGGAGCGTGTGGTGGTCAACAAAGACCAATTGACTTCGGGGTGGTTCGGGTTCGGCAAAGACACAGGGTTCTCCATAAATGCACTTCGTCGCTTCTTCAGTTTGACGTCCGTGTATGCCTAGGCCCTAGGCCTAGGCCTTGCCTGCCCACCCAGCTACTGTAAAGCCAAGCAGGTGACCAGAATTTTTGGCGGAAGCGGCCAGAAACTCTGGTGCTCTTTTGAGGTGGGTTCACTATACCGCCAAACAAAAACTAGGCCTATATAGGCAAATGCAGCGGGTGTTTTTCTTTTTAGTTGTTGTTTTACAAATGGTTATATGTGTTTTGTAGACACCTTCAATCCATTTGGATGTGTGCATCCTGAAATAAAACAAGCTAGAAACATGTTTTGACCTGTTTTTTCTCTCCTACCATGATTTATGTAGCGGACGACCAGGAATTTGCTGCGCTCAACCTGCTGAAGCTAACACAAATTCGCTGCGAGGTGAAGGCCTTGTGTGATCCACGCACTTCTCCGTCCAAGAACAGAAGAAAAACACAGATGTGGCGAAGGAAAAACGATGAAAAACAGGCTTCCTTTTTTTCCGAAGCCCTACAAACTTCATCGAAGACTTCCTTCTTCGAAACATCGACCTCGGATCGAAGACTATCGGACGATCGAAGACTATCGGTCTCCAAAAAGCCAACCGTCAAAACCGACTGAACGCGAGTTCGACCTCTTTGGCCGAATCGGTCGCGTCTCTCGACTCTCGAGACTCTGCCGAAATGGCAAGGTTTCTCCTGCGCGGGGACCGACAAGGCCATCCAGAAGCTGAAGGACCCTGAGAATGACAGTGAACAATGAAGGGTGTTGGGCCTGTTTTGACTCCTATGGGTAGTGGATGATGAATTTCAGGTGGGGTGAAACGAGTCACCCCAACAAGTCCATGCTCCGCGGCTTCGCCGTGGAGCTTCTCGGGGCTTTCCATGACGCGTCGGGTGCTTTCCAAGATCAGATGTTTTCGAACCAGCGAGCATTCGACACGTCTCTTTGGGAACTGTTCCAACTTGGTCAAGAATTCTAAATAATTCTAATGTTTGTGTTGCTCTCTGCGCAGCCTAATGAGGGAAGGTTCTAGCTTTGTCAACTCTCACAGAGAAGTCATGCTTGATCATCCGCGTCTTGATGTCTTGATGCGGCTACTGCGACTTCTGCAGTCGAGTGACACTGGGGAAGAGGGCAAGGAAGCAGGAATGAATCGCGGTACAGCGCCACTCCTGGAGAGTTTTGGCCTCTTCCATGATCTGCCTCTTTTTGTCAAGGATCAACTGCTTGTCAGAGTCTGTGATCTTCCGGGAACTGCGTCAGAGGATAAGGTTGAGACTTGGCAAGCCCTTGAACGCGAGCCTGCTGAAGATGGAGATGTCATCTACAGGTGTTGGGCTTGGCAAAGGCGCCATCTTCTTCGGATGTGGCGCCAACGTTTTGGTTGATCGTTCACTGGGTAGTCACCTTGCAATGGAATTTCTACGGAGCTGAACTCAGATGTCTTCTGGTTGATCTCACATGGCACATGGCTGAGGATCACACATTTGTGTTCATCCAACAAGCGCTTAACCTGCAGAGTGGTTGTTGTTCCGCGTTAATTGTTATGTATATACACACTGCATCACTGATTGTTGTTTGTCCAGCCCATTGATGTGCCATGCGCTGGTGGCATGTGTCAGAGATGGAATACGTTAGATGTCACTTGTGCTTGGTCCAAGCGGCATGTGCTCCTTTTTCTTGATCAGAAGATTATTCACTTCCCAAGGTCACAGACATCAGGTTCATTTCCTGTGATGCTGCTGGATGGTGCTACCCAAGTTGCCAAGTTGATGTTGGGTAGCTGTTGCTTCGAATCCGCAGCAAACGTTTTGTACCTTGGAGGTCGGGCCTGTTTAAAGCATGTTTGTCAAAAAGGTAGAAACAGAAACCAGTCGATAGTATCTCCCAGATAAGTCCACCCCTGAACATCCCTAAACATCAGTTCGAGACTCTTTTTGTGCGCCTAGGCCTAGACCGTGTTTTGCCAAACCACTGGTGCTGCTACTGAACACCTTCTCCTGCACTTGCAGGAGTTGGCCGATGAGGGTGGTGCACTCCAAGCAAAGGCGGAGCGACAGCGACTTACGTACTATCAAGAGGAGCAGGGTCTTGTCCCAGGGAAACGGCGCCAGTGAGCGTCGGAGTACATGTCGACTACGCTCATGGGATCCCAAGATCGAAGGGGTCGATGATCGAAGTATGTAAGTTACAAACCAGCATCCCAAAAAACGTTGCACCCGCAACCAGAACCATGTGTTTCTTTCTCCATGTTTTCCCTCTAATCCCCCACCTTCAGGTTGCTGAAACCCTCTAGATGTTACCCTTCATCGAACCTTCGACCCTTCATCGCCCTTCGACCCTTCGTCGCCAGGTGCTGAAGACCTCGGGCGGATTCCACACCTCGTTGATGGCTCCCGCCAAGGCCAAGTTGGGCCAGGCGGGTCCGGTCCGGGGCCGAGGAGTCGTGGGCTCTGGACGGTCTCCACCAGGAGACGGAACGTGTGGACGTGCCAGGTGTGTGTGTGTGTGTGTGTCACTTCCTTTTTCTGAATAGGTGGGTTTTGGAAGATGTGTGTGTGTGTTGGGGTGCATCCGGTGGCGACTCCGGTTGCAAAAGGAAGGGGCGCAACTCAACAGATCCGCTGGAAATCAAATCCGGGATTTAGTGTGATCCGGGATTCAGCCCTTGTCCTCGAAGAGTCCCCATCCGGGCGGTTTAAGACGAATGTCCCGCTCGCAAACTACTTTCGTTTAAC